CCTCACTGAGAGTGTTTTTCTTGGTAGTAAGACTTGAATGCGTGCCAGCACTACAAGTACACTGTGTTCACTAACCCTAATACCTTTAACAACACAGCGGGCGACGCTGGATGGCTCGTAACCTTGATGTTACGAGATATTCTGACACCATAAAAAGCAAGTAAAGAATACGTGCAACGAACTAACTGAAATGTATTAATTCGACAAAATCACTTAATGCTGTTGCGTTCAACGTGAAAGGTTGACTGATAAAGTTTGAAAAATCACTAATTTCGGCTTTTAATAGTTTGATAAAGTTATTGTATCTGCCTACAATTTGTTTTCTGAACGATTGTCGTTGTTGCATCAGTGTTAGACGTCAAACCGCGCCTGCGCGGGCTCTTGTCCGCTGGGGAAGACGGGTGCTTTGGCCAGCACGGACTGAATTCCCTCTTATTACTCTCCTCTAAACCCAGAAAGGATTGTGTAGGCACAGGTTGAAGCGACGCGATGCGGGCAATATTAGCTTCATACGAAAATATATTTGCTAGATTTGTTCTCTCGAACAACAGACATTTGAATTACGTTTTTATTCCTGACTAATTATTGATGTTCATTTGATATTATTGTTTATTTTCTTTTTATATTCTGCCTTAAATAAACCTCTTTGCCAATCAGCAGAAATATGTTTCAGTGGCAAATTCATTACATTTTTTTTTGTTTTGCTTTGTTTTATTTAATCATTTAGTTATTTCTTGTATAAAGCGATAATATGAAATAAATTAACAAGTCTCTGTAAGTTAACAATTCTCGCTAATGGGCAGACAGGTTTTTTAATAGACGAGAATCTTTGTTTGGTAAACCTCCTAACCAGAACGAAGGACGTTAATGCAATGAGTGAACTATTTATTAAGCACTATACGACATAAAAATATTTTCGATCAGAAATGTTCAATTTTACTCTTAATTGTCTGTTTGAAATCTGCCTGATGTATTCCATTTTAATAGATAATTTCTTTGCTTTAAAACAAGAATGGGAATTAATATAGCTAAATTTGGGGCAGTAACTGACAACTCTTCAAAACACTGTCTTGTGCCAGGTTTCCAGTAATTGCGACTCAGGAGCCATTTGTATAACCCATCCTCTTAAATGGCGTGCCAGTTTCTCTGAACGCAGCACCTCGAACTCGTTAGTGAGTTAATTACCTTGCCCGCGACCTGACACGCCTGACTTTAGGTAGAAATACACAAAATGCAGCGCGTAAGAATAATTTCAAATATATCTACGAAGAAGAGCACATACCAAAAGGAGCGTCACAATTTGGAACAATGAAGTTTGATGTTTTTTGCGCGAACTGTCTGCAAATTCTCGCAGAAAAACACCAGTCTATGCTGATGGATGGGCAACTGTATTGAGCAAAGTGTTTACGGGGCCGCCAATTTGGCAGAATAAGTTCAAACTCCATCTAATCAGAAGTATTATGCCCAAGATGTGGAAAGAAATTACCCACACAATGGATTCTTTAAGTAGTGGACATTTTCATAATCGTGAGTTATTACGGGAAGTTGATGATACTCTCGAAGCTCCTGTCTCTCAGAACATATTGCATTTATCCACTCTCCTCACTTACGACATAATACCTTCTATTGCAAGTACATATTTTTATAGAGACATAACTCTCGGGCTTTCGACAGCGTCATTATTCAACTATTCGCGCCAGATCGCGATGCGTCACTTCGCGCCCTATTTATCGCTAGTGAATCTGCCGCGCCCTGTTTATTTCTACCCTTACGTAGTTTCACAAATATAACATCGTCATTTCGAAAGTGAAGTTCAACCTTCCTCTTTCCTTCAAGGATAATTAATTGCGACGAATCTTTCACGCTATCAGACATGGCCTGTATCGTATACGAATTTCCGATTTCCGGCGACATTCCTCACTACTCACAGCATTCGGGAGCCTGCGGCGGGAGAGGCAGCCCTAACCGAACACCGGGTTCCGGCACACGTGCACGCAGCCGTTGTTGCAGCAGATGAGGTTGCTGGGGCAGCCGTTGTCGTCGGAGCAGCCCTCGGTGCCGCAGAAGCGCTGCGTGCCCGCTTTGGGGACGGGCGGGCAGGAGCCGCGTGAGCGGGCACGCGACGGCCCGGCGTTCACCACGTCGGAGCGGGGCGCGGCCAGCGCCGCCGCCGCCACCGCCGCCACCACCAGCAGCGCTAGGAGCGTCTTACCGCGCGCAGCCATGGCCCGGCACTGGCCGGCCGCGGCCGCTGGAGGCGCGCGCCGGGGGAGCACGGCGCCCGGCCAGGCGATGGTGGCGTCATTTCCGCCACCCGGCCAAGGTCTGGCTGCGCAACTCGCCTCTTGGCAGGCTGCGTGCCGCCGCCGCCGCCGACGGGGATGTGCTTGAGGGCGTGCGGAGGCCGCTGGTGGAGGGGCTCGCGAAGCACGAGACCTCCTTGGGCGGGAGAGTCGACCTCGTTTCGATCACGGTCAGGGCTCGGATTCTGAGTCATTTTTCATTGATGCATTCTAGACTACCTAATTTGTAAATTAATATGAGGCACGACATGTAGGTAATAGAAATGTGTAGGTATTTTGTCATGTTTATGTCATATTTCGAATGTTTCAATTTTAGGTCATTTTTTAACTTTGCGTCGTTTTTGTCATTTTTAAGCATGTTTCCTTTTAGTCTTTTTTGTTAAAGAATATGTTTAATGAATTTACAATGACACACAAAGTTTTTTTGCAACATCATTTCATGACGAAATTCACTACGGCAGTGGACTCTGATTATCGAACTCTCAAAATTAATCTTCCGTAACTGCTTCGACCTTTCCAAACTGACGGTTGCAAGATCGGAGCTAAGGATTACATTTCCTCCAAAAATAAAGACTTTGTTTTAAATATATAAATGTATAAATAAATTTTATTTAACGTTGTAAAATTACTTACTGTTACTTTTTAGTCATTTTTTTAGGATATCAAAATTCGAGCCTGGTCATGATAAACTTTTCAATATTTACAATCAGTCAAATTCTAATGGTTTCTTTCTTTTAATTGTGCTGGTGCCTAGTAGCAACAATTGTAATACATGACGATAGTAACATGCCTAACATCATCATTGGTCGCAAAAGGAGTTAAGATGACATCATACATGCGGCGATGAGCGTCTTAGTCACTTGCTGTCACTTCCTCCCTTACTTTGTATGCATCGCGTGCGTTCCATAATGTACTCAGTACGCTTGGAGCCAAGGAATGCAAATTCTCGTTAATAGAGTTAAACATATTACGGTCAATGCCGTTTTCTTAATTTGTACAACCGACGTGTTCGACGAGCATTACGCACTTGCAAAGTAACGTAATAAAATTATATCAACGACATCGACCGCTTTCGAACCGGTTTTGTGGAGCAGGCGTCAGGTTGTGTGTCACAGTCAAGGTCCAAAGGCATTTCTTAGACATGGCGGTAAACCGAAATTGCTGTCTTGAACTTGAATATGTTATTCACAAAAAATGTTTTTCTCTCTCTCTTTCTCCCTCTCTCTCTTTCTCCCTCTCTCTCTTTCTCCCTCTCTCTCTTTCTCCCTCTCTCTCTTTCTCCCCCTTTCTTTCTTTTTTCTCTCTTTTTCTTTTGTCTTTGAGTATCCTCTCGCGCGCGCTCGCTGTACGGCCTCCATCGCTTTCGGAGGGGCATTGCGAAGCCGGCAGGAAACTGACCTTCCTCCTCGCTTTTCCTGGTTCGCAAGAATGCTCTCCGTTTCACCGAGAACGCGTCGTGACGTTGACGATTGTATCACGTTTCGTGGTTTCCTTAGCGGAAGAAAGTAGACTCAACTTTCATCAAAGGTCACATTTAGTTGTATTCTTCTTACCAGGATTTTAATAGAATTGAATTCAAAAGAGTATATGTCTACAACAAATATAGCCATGAATACTTAATTATATTATTTGGATAATCACCCCTCTTCTATACGCACAACACGAACTATTGGGCAATACCTCTAAACAAGACATGTTAAGATTGTTATCAAGCAAGGTAACAAGTTTGCAGGCACTGTGTCCAGATTAACTGAAACAAAGTTTGAACGTAAGGGTTGTTCAAATATGTTGCAGGGTACAGGTACTACACAGTTCGTACTTGGCCCACGACAATCTTTTGGAGAAATCACTTCACAGATATTGTTCAACATTTAGCTACTCTCATTTCCTCTACTAAATAAAAAGAATTCATGAACATGAAATTTACCAGTCACATTCAAACAAATCGATTGAGAAAAAAATGAAATACTTCATTCTTCGAATTGAAAGGATTTTGATTTGGTAATCGTGTTTTCTTAAGAGTGTAATATTTGCATTATATTCAGGTTAGGAGCAAGATTTCCCATTCAAAAGAACTGTCCGTCTGTAAGAGAAAGATAATTAATCTAAGATGAAGTACTGCTATACGAGAAAAACTGTGTACACACGTGCCGATTTATTTTGCATTACTTTGTACACAACTTATTTATCATTTAATTTAAATTTTAAGTTAGTTAAAATACATTTTAACTCAATTAACGCTAAGGGATACGAAATTGTTTTGATAGATCCTATCTTATAAAGAATTACAATGAAATATTAAAAAAATATTTCCAAAAAATAATGCATTATCTAATGAATGGATATTATAAATATTTTTGTGTACAGAAATATTATTTCGTATGAAAGAAATTCAATATGATTAATTTACGACATTATCAACAACTATTTATACGTCAAAAAACACTATTTTTTCTCTAAAATGTATGTTTACCATATTACACTGGCTGTTTAATTCTAAAATATTCTATAGCATATTTTTGGTACCGGAAAGTTACCGTCTTATGATAATTATACGATTGTAATTAGTTTTCATTATTATAAACACTGAATGTGTTAATGATAATATCAATTGCACAGTCTATTCGAACCACTTCCAGAACTACTGCGGCGTTGAAATGCTCCTACTTACGCCCGCGCGCGTCTACTGCGGGTCCTTGCACGAGGCAGTGCAGCCGTACACGCAGCACTTCTGTCGCCCCGGGCAGTGGTCGTCGCCGACGCACCGGGTGACGCAGGCGCCGGGTCGGCTGGGCTGCACGGGCGGACACGAGCCGGGCTTGGCGTCCGCGCCCGCCGCCAACAGCCCGCTCACCGCCAGCAGCAGGAGCAGTCTGGCCAACGCCGCCATGTCGCTTGGCTTCACTTCCGCGCCGCGCGCAGCATCCGAGCTTTTATACCTGCGGCCCACCTCATCCTACCACGCTGCCGTCGCTCGTTGCCTCAGCTCGTGAGGCGTTCGAGGTTGTAGAGGTCACTGATCCCGACGACCTTCGCCTCCTGCGAGCTCTTTTGTCGGTGGCGGTCGCGGAAGCCGCTGTTAGCAATTATTAAGATCCTGCTGACCTTGTGATGTTTGTTGGAACGACGCGGCGCTGGTGGGAAGAACAGAGAAAGGTACCCGCCCCCCAATATTTTCCAGTACATCCAGCTACTGCGCACTCTCATAGTAACACATTATAACGATAACGAATTAATAATTTAGTAACACTATCAGTGAATAGATCATATGCTGTGCACAAACAACTTTCGCCGACCTTCATCAGCCAAAAAGGCATGGAAAACAAATATTACGATGGTGCTTCCGAAATGGGGAGTAGATCCAGGAATTCCTCGCGAACCGAGTTTGGCGTCTACGCTCGCCGCCAACAGCCCGTTGCATATTTTGCATTTCCTATCCACGAATGAGACAATGCGTGCTACCACTACAGCTCCAACAGGCACCGCTGCCATCGTCTCCGTGCCTAACATTTCTTTTTAAAGTTTATTGTCAGAGTATACATTCTTGAATTCATAAAGAACTACGACATAATATGAAATGTTTACTAAACATGTGTAATGCACCGTGCTAATTTCAAAAAGTCACTAAGCATCAAGTGAACGTCTATACTGAACGTGAACATCTATAATAACGTCGTGGTTTTAACTAAACTGTAAGGGAAGTTCACTTTTCTTTTGATGCCTCTCCCAAATTTTACGTCTATGGCTAGAACGCTTGATTATATGAAAATGATACATCACAGAGATTGTTTTTCTCTGGCCATGTTTAATTTTTAAAATTACCCAGAGTATTGAAAAATAGTTCATGAAAGAAAAGACACAAAAAGTTCACATTTTTATCGGTCAATGTCAAAATGTCTCTTTATACTTTTTCACACAAAATATTCATTCATTCTCCATCTTTCACGTCTAGTAATTCTAATTTCGGGGCGAAGTAAATAGATTGCATTTGTTTCAGTGAAAATTTCGTAATTGCCGTTAGGACCTATTGTCATTAACATCACTTCATTACGGACGAGTGTATAGTAAAAGTAATTTTAGTGGTATGATGTTCGTATGATGGTATGTTAGTGGTATGATGTATTTAGTTGATTGCATCCAACTAAAAGGAGGAGATCCTCGATCCTCCATTACCTGTTAGTAATGGTTCCTTAGAGAATCATGCCCGAACGCAATTATTTTTATTGCTGCTTCAAAGATGTTGTTTGTATGTAAATGTAGTCGCAATGTCCTTATTGAAAAAAGGGAACAATTCTTTCTAACAAATTTGTTCAAAGAATACAACTAACGTGTACATATTTTGGAATATTTCATTTATCCCATCGATTTAACTACAGTTCAAATAGTATTCTACTTATAAAAACAATACAAATTTACATATCATGCCAAGGAAATTTAAAACCTGAACTCTGAACGTAAAGTGTAGTCAGATAGTAAAAAAACTAAACAATCCAATGAATCGAAGCTATTACATACGTACCAACCTTTCGTGGTATGTTACACAGGACGCTGGCAGCTATGTCCACATCCATTACTGCAGCACTTCGAATTGCCCGAGCAAGAATTATCTCCGGTGCAGAGTTCGGCGCAAACGCCGACCTGGCCAGGCCGCACCGGGGGGCACCTGCCCGGCTTTTGGGCCTCCGTGGGCCCCATTACGAGCGCAGCCACTGCAAGCAGCACGAGCACCTTGGTGAATCCGGCCATGTCTAAGCGAGTCGGTGTTTCTAAAGACTGATGCTGCAGCAGTTTGCTGCACTCTGTTTATACCCTCCGCTAAAGCCCGTAGGCCGTTGAGGGGTTTCCCATTGAAGCGAACAGGAAAACTTGCTATGGATTCCAGACAAGGAACGGGATTCAGGTGGCGGAAAGACGACCACAACGACTTTCAGGAAAGTCACAGGGACAGGACGAAGAGCACGATAGTTATTGGTTTAGATTGATTGATTTTTTTCGAGAGCGCCAACTACTGTGGCCATTACTTCCCTGAATGTAATGGACCATCACAGAAGGGGACAATGTTCTTCGCCCTCTGGATGGCGAAATCCATCCGTACACGTCGTACGGAACCGTACACGCCTCCGTACACGTCGGCGAGTTGCTGAGTAATAAATGCAGAATTTTTTGTATTTACTTTCCATCAATGGGGCACAGCCCCAGCTGAGACAATTTCTAAGCGTACGTCTGGTTTCCCGACACTTGTGGTAGTATGTAAGTGTGTGTGTGTGTGTGTGTGTGTGTGTGAGTGGTGATGAGGAGACGGGCGAAGAAAAGATGGGAGGGATGGACGGAGAGAGGGAGGATGAATGGAGGGACGGATGGATGGACGGACGGGGGGAGTGAAAGATGCGTGGAAGGATGGAAGCTCGGACTGAAGTTTTTCCTTCGTTTAATTTTTCGGGTTTAGGGCCCACATAACACGTATTCTAACAACACAATTTTCTCGAATAAGCTACCATTAATAGCACACACTTCCCACTTAATGTCGTTATAACTAAGTAATTCCTTGGCATTTTACCATCCCCTGGATTCCCTACTTCCCCACGGGACCAAAAAGTTCCTTTTCTGCAGTTACTACCAGCAATACCAAGCTCCATCATAATTTACAAACTGTATAGAAAGAAGGCAGTACTTCCCATTTGTACCCGCCATTCAGAAAGTATATTCTTGGAGAACAACTCATGTGTACGCTTTAGACACTGTAATCTTCCTGTGGGTACCGTAAATGGTCACTGTCAGTCATTAAGTTGTGTGTTGGCACCAACATTGTTTGCAGAATTAAAACTAACGCTGCAGATGTATAGCACTAGGTCCGCACTCGGTAATTATTATTCTCACTCACAGATATATAAACATTGTCTTGCATCCTATTCGTCCACGATGTCTACTTTTAATTTTAATGTATTTAACATGCACTTCGATGCAAGAAATGTCAGTGCAATTCATTTTTTACCATTTCGCAAGCCTCGCACGTTCGGGCTGGCACCAGGGATTCTAGGAATTCCTCACACCAACTCTTCGCAGAAGCTCTTACGCCCGGCATTTGCTGCCTGCGCAACGGCTACACAAGATGATCTATTATTATTATTCTGTCAGTTCTCAAACATTAAACTAGCACCGTAATCTTGGTAATTCAAAATGTCAATCAATGCTTTAGTCTTTCAATTACAATAATTTGAAACGGCTGATTGCATTGGTCACAACTCCATGACGCCGCGAACGCCGCGTTTGCCACAGTGAGTGGTTCCACGCCAAGGCTGTTCATCGCAAATCTTCTGTGGATGCACCTCGCGTCGATCAAGCGACGGGCTCACTTTTTACATCGCAATGTGCGACGCGCACGTTTGTAACATTCTTTAATCCATGTGCAACAGTGTATTACTGCACCTTGTGTTAATTGTGTTATGTTTAATCAAAGCACACGGAAATACGTACCTCTTGTACAGCTAATTATACACATTCTACTAATTTCACATTGCTGTATTTATACGCGAGTGTAAGACTGTGTTACCGCCTGCGTAGATCAACGTGTTTCTTAAGCGCAATCATCTAAAATGTCTGAACTGAAATACTAACAGTATTTGAGATGAATTATTAACAATCTCTAAACTGTGTCATCGTCTCTCCAGTAGCGTATTTTGAAACATTTGCAACCGCAATTGTCTGAAATTTATTAATCAACGTGTGAACTGTGACATTCGTATTTTTAAAACAACAAACTTTATGAGTTCCTACTGCACAGAAATACTACATTTGATGTTCTCAGTAAAGTACTGACTGTTTAATTAAGTTTTCAATGAGAACTAGCAATCCTACACTTCATGCACTTTGCAACATTGGCTGACGGATGGCAGGTCTGCCAACCTGCCTCTCCACTTTGTTAGCAACTTTTTTAGCAACAACAGTGCTTCATCTGGGACACAACGTCACCGCAATTATCTGAAAAATGTCACTCAACGTGTGAACTGTGACACTCGTATTTTTATAACAACAAACTTTATGAGTTCCTACTGCACAGGAATAGTACATTTGATGTTCTCAGTTAAGTAGTGACTGTTTGTTCGAGATTTCAATGAGAACAAGCAATCCTACACTTCATGCACTTGGCAACTTTGGCTGACGGTGTGCCAGGTGTACCAGGCGTCACATGTAAAATTGTGTTCTCTCTCTTTCAGCACTGCATGCTCGGTTATTGTTCTCAAACCTGCGTCACCTGTTCGTATCACAACTTCACTGCGCAACTAATACAATCAGCAGAAGAATGTCCTACATTTTTCTACGAAAATGAAAAAAAACTGTATCCTCAGTTTATCGTTTTCAGCCAGTTTATCGTTTCAACTTGCCAATAAAGTTTTTTTCAAAATCAATTTTTCCGTTTAAAAAAAATGCACAGAACATTTCCAAATCCAAGAAGATAATACAGGAAACAATAAAATCACACAGATTGCACATAAACGAAGCGTAAAATTTACACAATTAAACTTTAGTCGCAGGAGTTAATGCACAGGAACGGAAGAACTCTACGAATCCAAACTTTACGAAGAATAATCAAAAACCCACAATAGAAACCGCTTACAACACACACTCTATATGAACTAAAGACATATAATTTTCTCGCAAAATGTAAACTCTAAATAATTAACCGCTATCTACAGCTGGGAATCTGTCCCTTGGATAAATTATTAATCTAAACATTATGCTTCTAATTATATTGCACATGATATCCAAAAAATTCATTTACCAATCTCCTGCCTTCAAAATATTGCATGCAAAGAACAGATGTGTTGCAAGTGCACTAGCTTCTCATTTACAATTGTATATGTTTTAGAATGCAGATATAATAAGATGGTCCTAAGTAGATGTTTTACTGTCAGGCAATAAGCGCATCAAAATTGCCGGTCCATTATATATGACTGCAATTTGTTGGCCACCTCGTGTCCTTCAATTCTGAAACACTTCTTTCTACTAGTTACCTGCCGACGTGAACTTGAGCTATTTTCCGCGCCCTAACTGTATACCCTCTGGACTTCCCCTTTCTGGCCTTGATGGTCGTTCGCTGGTCTCTTGCATCGACGTCGCTCTCGGTCCCACGCTTCTGTGTCGTAGAGACGGGATTCCGCCTCTGCATCTGCGTTGCCTTCTTGCATACTCTTCCGGTTCGCTTCCTAGTCGGCCTCTCTTCTTTCCTCGAACTGCTTACTGGCACCGTCTGACTACGGCCCACGTTGGCGAAAATGTCCCTTGGCACTTCAAACTGTAATACTCGTGCAAGTTCCCGCTCGTTTTACTTCTACTTTGCTAAACCAAGACTTTCAATGCTTCTCTCACAACGGGTAAACTTTTATTTCCGTGTCATAATTAAAGACTACTTTACTTAATCTGCACTATCTCGCGACACGACTAGAACGTCTGTCGACGCCGAATACTCCTACCTAGTAGTCGTTGCAGCGGCAACAATATCCAAACTTAGTTAACAAAAGTGGTTGACTCGGCGACGTGATTCAGAAATTGCTGCTTACTCGACGAGTGGTGCAAGGAGAAGAGAGCTTCCGCTTGCGGGTTCGCATATTACGTCCGACGCCCTGGGGAAATCTCAGGGTGGGCTGCCTATATATATATTATATATATATATATATAGTCATATATATATATCATAGGTATATATATATATATATAGCAAGCGCTCCACACCCTTTTGAATATCGAAGGAGTTATTTGAATTTTTAAATTGACTCATTGAGATTATTTTCGATGTTTCCTGTCTCTTTCCCAGAATATCCTGTGTATACACATATAGAGTATTATTGATTGTTAAATCTTAAGTTAGACTTACTCACAAAATACCGAATAGAAATCTTCCTGTTCTCAATTTAATTACATGAACATTTTGTAATGTGAGAATTAATTTATCTGTAATGTGGAATAAATAAGAAAATTGCTATTAGGAAGCTGATGATGGGCAAGAAGAGAAATTGGTCCTACATTTATATAAATGCAATTGAGTTTTTCCTCCTCTCCAAAACAATGGTCGCTGAGATCGTTTAAAACGCGTAACGTCGGTCGCGCTGTAATAATTGATTTGTCTACAGCGAGGTTTTGCTGTAAGCGGAGAAACACAAACGGCGTCGACATGACACTGTACCAGATACTTACCGAGAATGAAATAATAGTACCAGAATGTACGTGAACAGATACCTACCGAGAACAAAAAATGTAACACATAAATTCGATCAAAATCAGTATTGCGAAGCCTTTACATAGTTTCTAGCAGTTTTTGAAGTGCAAGATCTAATTCCTCATTCCTCGAAAGTCCTGGGGGAACTGGGCGTTTTCTTTAGCAAATGAGCTTGAGCGTATCATTGAATCATTTCGTTGCTGAGAAATTATTAAACAGACTTCCATGAACTATAACCCTTATTGTCTGCCTTCTGACGACTCACCTTCAAGCGCAGCGCTTCCAGAGGCGGCTTGGGCGTACGGGATGCCCTGGAAGCTGTAGTACCTCTCCCCCAGCACAGAGGTCGCTTCTCTCCCTCGCAGCGTGCCCTTGCGTCCACCTTCACTATGCTCTTCAGCCTCCGCGCTGTCCATCCCCAGCACCTGCGCACGAAAACGATGGTTAAACAATTTTTTTGCGATCATTATAAAAGACACTCGCTTCAATATGTAATGATATGGCATTCCTACTAGTTGTGCTACAGAGCCAGGCTCTCCCATATTATTGTTTCTATTTCCTTTGTCCGGCTTGCCTATCGAGCCACATATTCTTGCCAAGCTGTCATCTATCGCCACTCAAAGTACATGTTTTAAAATATATTTTCTTAATTTTCCGGTTTTCTAATAGTGAGTGCGGAAATATTTTTAATAATATTAACAACAGTCAAAAACCTTCGTCCTAAAATGACAACATTCTCTTACAAATTTGGAGCCGTTTTTCAAGAAAAATGGCATAGAAAGACGGCTAAAAACTTCAAAATTTGAAACGTTTTTTCACAGAAATTTTTCAGTCTTCGAAAACCTTGTATAGAATAGAATTTAAAGCACATTAATTCAGAAATACAAATATTATTTACATTCTGCTAAAAAATGCATATCAATTGGTGGAGCAGAAATCTTTAAATTTAATTAAAATTATTTTTCAAAATTGTTTTAAAAAGCAAAAAAATACACGAAAATTAACTTTACATCATCCGTAAACTGCCGTCTTCTGAAAATTGCGCGAGTTTTTGAAGCTAGTTTTCACGAAATTTGGAAGAGTTTTTTGAGACCTTTATTTATATGAATTATTAAAGCACATTTACGCGTATATACAATAATGTATCAGATTGCCTCTTAGTATAATATTACCATATATGAGACAAAGGTCATAAAGTTTTTTAAATTATGAAAAAACAAACAAACTATAGCCAATATGGCGTTTGTCACTCTATATGAATATATTTAGACACTCTCCCTACCAAAAGTTAAAGAAAAAATTTGAAGCTGTCATTCGGACAAAATTGTTCTTTTGATATTTTTATGCGCATAATGCACTGAGTAATAATTGCGCGAAAAGTAATAAAGCGCCTTACTTTAAAGGTGCCTTACTTTAAAAGAAAGAGCTATTAATGAAAGAAAAAATTACTTGAAGGAAAAATATGTATTCTTCAATTACTTGTTAGCTTTCTAGGAATCATTTCTGGGGGTCTCTAATACAGCTAAAAAGTAGTTTTTTAAAACTCTCCGTCCGTCTGAGAACCACTACTAGTTAGCTGTAACCATATAAGTATTTTTTTTTTTCCAAATTGATAAGAACCCATGTCATCTTAACAATATCACGTATCTTGAAGAAATAACATTAACATTTATTATATCTGAAGCCCCTTGGACATATCAAAGTTTTCTCAATCTCCGCGCTCAAATTTTTTCTTTAAATTTCTCGTAAGAATAGGTCCAACTTTAAAGGACCAAGTTTAGGTTAAACTTTGAATTGTTCGAAATTTCAAATTTACTGGATTTTCCTTCTTAACAACTACAAATTTGAAGATAGATATTTTCCATTCAAATAAAATTTGCTCTCAATGGTGATTTTTGGTCATTTTAATAGTTATATGTGCAATTTAAAACAATTACAAAAAGCACGACTTCTCAAACGACTCCAAATTTTTCTTTAATAGTCTTATAGAGATACTTGCTTAATGTACTTCGACTATAAAATGACGTAGACGCCCATATTTCTCTATTTTTGTTGTTTCATCAACTTTGTCTTCGAATGGTTTAATATACATACCAACAAAACGATAGTGGATGGTAAATTCGTCGCCACATACTCTCTATATTGCTGTGTGCGTACTTTTCATGTCCCCTTTTAAAACTGTGTCAACTGCCATTCAAAGAAGAAGTGTTTGCAATATTTGAAATCTTATCCCCCATCTACTGACATCGAACATTCTCCTGGCATCGTGACACCCGGTGAGACTTGCATTTTATGTCGGTCTCATGTTCAAGATAGGAATGTAAGGATTATGTTAGAAAGTTGTTTCAAAACGATAAGACATTTCGCAGAATATCAAGGGTGAGTTTGCTGAAATGTCTTCTTATTTGAGAATATCTGACCCATTGTTTTAACCGGAAAATTGATTTTGAAAAGTAATATTGGCAATTTGAAACGATAAAACTGGCTGAAACGATAAAACTGAGGATACAGTTTTTTTTCATGTTCGTAGAAAATTGTTGTAGGACATGTCTGCTGATTATTAGTTGCGCATGAAGGTGATACGAACAGGTGAGACAGTTTGAGAACAATAAACTCATTTTCACAGACAATTGATCAAACTGTTTGTTACGTGTCGGCAGTGAACTATCTGTCGCGCAAATGATCGCGCAAGTGTGACGGTTCGGTCTCTGCCATAGAAGAGATATCAGATTTTGAAATCACAAAGGTTCAAACACAGTGAGTAGATATAACAGAGACCTGGCTCGTGGCAGGGCATCATATCGAGACCGGAAACTTTTTTTTTTCAGACTTTCCCCCCGCCAGTACCCTGGCGAGGCGGGAGTTATATTTCGTTTTTGGGGATCAACATACGGCCGCAGCTCTGTGGCTTATGCGGGCAAAGAATCAGGGGGCAGAACTTACTTACTAACTTATTTCTAACTTACCTAAGGATGACAGCCGCAACTTTGGCAGGCAACCTAAGATTAGCAAAGAATTTTTGTATTTTACTACATGCTTATTTGTTTTTAATTTTCTATTGGATTTTTTTTCCATCAGCACGCACATTTCACAACGCTCGCCTCATTCACACTTGTTCTATTTGACACTTAGACCACACGCCACATTTCACACGAACACTATAATACTCCTAGGCACTATTTACACTATTTACACGTAGTGTGCGGCCACGCGCGACTTTGCTCCAAGCGTTCCGTGCGGCTAGCACAATGTGCCGGCAGTTTGTTAACGGGCGGGGCCTCACTCGTCCCGCTGGCGAGCCTCAACGCCGCTGCTCCAGAGTTCTGCGAGAAGCTGCGGCGGTCGCGCCGCGGAACGTGGCGGCCACTTGCTTGGGCCCTCTTCGGGCGCCAAAAAATACGTCCGGTGGACCTCACAGTTCGCTGCCCGCGCCGGTTTTCGCGGTACAGAGCCGCGGAGCTTTCGCCCCAGCGCCCCTGCGTGAGCGCCGTGTGCCCTCCCGGATCTCGGATCTCCTCCGGCAGCTGACGAACTCAAAGCCCAGAGGCCCCCGTAAGGTTACACGATGTTCCTATGGTGCGCGTTAGGAGGAGGAGGAGGGAGATGCGGCCCGCGTGCGGTCCTCACCGCTCGGTTCTCGGGCCGCCCAATCGGCGCGTAAGGGTCGAGACCGGCGCTGCCGCGAAAGTTCGCAAGCATAGGTCCATAACTTCGTAATGCAGGCGGTGAAAAGGAGACGCTTCTTGCGAGAGAAGCAAGGTCGGGAGAGCCAAGGATTGGACGTGGAAGCGGAGTCCTCAGCAAGAATTTTTGTGGCGATCCTTGGCGTGCTCGTGCCAAACGAGCCGACGGAATCTAGAGTCACGCCAGGTATCCATCGCGCATGGGCGACCAAGAGGAGATGCGCGCCCGCAAGCAACACCGTTTTCCTCGGCGGTCCCTCCTGACGGGTGAGTTAACGGGCCGGACGGCATTTTCAAGTGTTAGGTCAGGCGTTTCTGGCGTAGCCAGGTGCGGAAAGAGCGGCGAGCAAATTCGTTCAGGTTATCTATGCTTGTCTGCTGTTCGCCCGATTTGCGCATAATACGCAAAAGTCGTACCGCAACATCAGGAGCCCCGCAACGCTGAATTCCGTTCTCGCTTTCTGTAGCAGAGGCGCATACTGACGTACAAGCCGAAGAGGGTGGGGGAGAGTACGCTCCCCATGTGAAAACCTCCCGCTTCGGCGCGTCTTAGACGATACTGTCACAGCCGTTAAAATCGCACTCTTAAACGTTCTCTCGTGTGAGAAAACTACCGATCAGCCTGGTGTAGCATCGAGCTTATCCCTGACCCAATGAGGACATAAGAGTCCCCCTATGCCACACCGATGGCGAAGGCCGACCGCATGTCAAGGAAGAGCGGTAGGAATTGAGAATTATCAATTAATGAATTTTAATTTGTTGTAAAATCGAAACCAAGCAAACAACTGTGTGTGCAAATAACATTAACTGAATGGCACTTAGTTCTATTCTAGTTGCCTACAGCATATGTAATGCAAAGTAGGTAGCTTAGTGGGCTCCGTCTTTCTCAATGCTTAATATCATGTAGGGAGGCTCAAGGCATCAAGCTTGCATGCTTCAGACCGAAAGATGCCTAGGGATCGAGTGTCAGTCGAAAGAAGTATACTTCGGATATCACAGGAAGTTGAATGTCAGCTGCTGTCTGGAGACGAATTGTAGCAGTGTATAAAAAGGAGAGTTTACGTGAACCAGACTGTTGAGACCCACAATATTATATTTTCATTTTTTCCTTGTTTCACATCTTAAAAATACTTACATTTATTAATTATTAATTTTTTTGCCAAAATATCCCTATTTCTTAAATTTTTACGCGTTCATACTTCAATATTAGTAAATTATTAGTAGAAGACGGAATAAATATACAAAAAAAATGGTATACAGTAAAAGTAAATCACGCAATATTGACTTAACTGAAATAGCATTAGAAATATGTCATCACACACACAATTTAAATTTGGAAAGAGAGATTTTACATTCTGATTACAATTGTACCGAAAAACTTGGTGGAACATAAATGTCAACGTAAAAATAATTATCATGGATTATTACATTTACATACAGACGGTATTGTTAGCTATTCAAAGTTTGTATGTTAGAAATAATCTGTATTCACATTATCATCACTAAATCCACAAACATTCTAAATTATGTAATACTGTGAATATTCAAATATTTTCGTCATGATAAATTTATTATGATGAAATTGATAAATGTAGATCTCAAAAAGAAAAGTTTTGGTATGATATCAAGAGGCATTTGAGTTATACAAACGTCAATGGAAGCACCATTTACATATAGGATATTCGATTTTTTCTTTAATGATAATATACATTATGACTATAATTAATTATTTAATACTCTTA